TCAAGCGACTGCCTCCTGTAACTCGCCTCTTCGCTTCCATTGACAAAGCTATTTCTGTAGGAGAACTGTCCCGTGAATTCAGAGATCAGTCTACAATTTTTAAATGTCCACTGATCGCGAACATTGTGAGTAATTAGTTTTAAGAGTTTGGATCGTTTTTCTATCTCACTCCGAGGCCTTTCTCCAACCCACTGCGTAGATTCACATGCATGGCTGAGGTTTTAATCAGCAAGACTGTCGTTTTGCAAGATAATGTCAACCATATGAACGTCTATGCATTTGGTCGGGATGTTTTTAGGTCTGCTTTGAGCTGTCGTCAGTAGCGACAGCCCAAAACGTGGACGTCAAAATTGCAGACGTGAATCCATTTTTCTCGGGGGGTAACAATAATAAACTACATTTTTTCACCTATGCGGTTAAAATTTTTACGTTTTAGTCTGACAGGCTGAAAACAATCGTATTCAAGGCGTGTGCACTCCTGTCGGGGTTTGTTGTGCCTTTTGCGCGCAGACTCATCACCAGCCTTCGTGTTAGTGGCTTGTTGCATGTTTTCCGCCTCTCCAACAGCCTAATTTCAAGCCAGCGGTCACAAACACACTCTTTTTTTCACGGTCGCTGTTGCACAGTGCTGCCTTTGCGATGTTTTGTTGTCCAGCCGACGTGCTAAACCCCAGCACTGCACGCCCTGGGGCGTTGTAACTGTTTATTCGCCATACCTATGAGCCTGCTTTTTATACAATTACTCCTCACCGAAGTTTGCTCCACTAACAGCCACCCGTAGACAGTCAGCAGGTAGGCTAACTTAATGTATCAGACCATTATTTTACAGGAAACAACTCACAGCAATCAACTCATCAGGCTTTAAGAAAATTAATTTAGAAATAATATCTTTGCGTAGTCTTTCAATATGCTATTCAGTACGGACCAATCACATTTCGTACACTTTTTGTTACTATTGCATCCGGGGATAGATTGGGTTTGGTGCTTGCCAACATTTTTGAGTTTTCTTTTAGGGGCCTCAAAAGTCATATTTTACGTATTAGCATGTGCTTTTCACGCGCCCCCTAGGACAACTGTCTCTTCTTACCTCCTTTAAGGACCTGCTTTCTTCGCTTACTATCAATTGCGGTCTTCTTTTTTTCTCCCGTTTAGGCAAAATGTGCGCTGCGAGTCACGCAATACTCGACCGGCATAATGAAATACAGTCTGGACAGTTTATGATTAGCAAACTGGAGGACTCTGAAAGCGAGTCCGAGGACGTTGATGGCCAACTACTGGAAGATTCGGATCATGTCAGCTCAGAGCGAGCCAATGGTCTGCCCGAGTTCGATAGTTTGCAGTCGCTTTTCAAATGCTTGAGTGTTGCCTACGTGGAGAATCTCACCTCCCCGCGCTGGAGCCACTTTAAGGGCGCAAAATTTGCGCTGAAGAACAAAATCCGTCTGAATAACATTATTTGGCGAGAATATCACATGCAATGTAAGTTCTCTTGGTGTGTGTGTGTTCTCAACACCCTTTCTGTCCCACAGATGTGAAACAGCTGCGGCCCATCATTGTCCAGTTCCAAGTTCCACTCTGCGATCCACTGCACAATAAAGCTGAGGTAAGCTGACATTTTTAGTTTTATTTAACCGTCCCTTAAACTAGGGCATCGTGATGGAGGGAAAATTTTGGAAGAGACACACAAAAACACTTTGTAATGAGTATCGCCGGTGGAGGACCTTCTTCCGCGACCTGAAGTTGAGTAAGGATAGGAAACCAGGGGCTGTACTAACAGCCGACCACGAGGCAGCCGCATTGGATTTCCAAAATGCATGCGAATATACCCCCAAGCCTTCATTCCTTGATGACTTCGATCTGGCTAATGATATCCTAAGGTCACCCAATGCGATTGATCCGAACCTGCTGGATGAGCTAATGATGGATTTTGAGGGCAGTCTGGATGTCTTCTTTGATCAGCCCTTTCCAAACCCTCGTGACATGCCAATGCTACGAAACTCTGATA